CTTTTACATAATAACCTGGCCAACTAAAATTTGAAATGGAAAATATTAAATATACGGCCAAATTTCTTTGATATAGTCATATAGACTACTTTTCCAGAACAAGATGAAAATATTATACTTGCGATTTATGCTCAGTTGAATTATAAAAAATAAAAATAAAATAAAAATTATTGTCAAAACCGCATGGGTGCAGTGGTGCAGAATGCCTTAGAACCAAAACACTCCTGCTGCATACACAACTAAAGCATTCATATCAGTTTGGTATTATTTACGATTTTTTAAGAGCCAACAAGAAAAGAGAAGAAAGAAAAAAGAAGAAAAGAAAAGCCTGACCAGCCTCACGCAACTTTAAAAAAAAAAAAAAAAAAAAAAGTAAATGGAAATGAAAATGCGCCAACGGGCACGTGCACTGCGCTAAGTGTTGCAATGCCTTTTCTCTCACATGGTGGTCCCCACAAAAAAATTTAAAATTGTAGGAGAAAAAACTATTTCAAAAATTCATCCCCACACTTGTTAAAAACTCTTTCTTGGTCTTTTGGTATGCAAAAACTCAATAATATCCACAAGTGTGGACGCTCAAAAAGGGGTGCAAAAGATAACAGCGTTGCCTCTCATTCAAGGCAATTTATATCCTGCACCACGGCGCGCGTTGCATGGTGCGCCCAGATGTAAAACGACGTCGTTTCAGATTTTATTTCTTTTTTGAAATTTCGCTACCCAGCGTTTGGCGGTTAATTTTCCTTAAAAAAAAATCTCATGTTCAAAAATGTACATAATGTTATACATGAATGTACATAATTGTATAACAAAATATACATACTGTTTTTTAAAAGATAATACACATAATCTAACATAATACATAATAAACATAAACTTTTAACATAATACACATCAACTCTTAACATAATACACAAAAATTTCATGATTCAGATTTACATAATTGTATAAAAAAAATGTACATAATTGTATAAAAAATGTACATAATAAAAAATATACATAATTGTATGAGCAAATATACATAATTGTATGAACAAATATACATAATCACAGCAACTTCCTACCGCGCCTCCCAAAACGACGTCGTTTTGGGAGGCGCGCGGCACACAGTGCTAAGCTCGCCGTGGGGGTCGTTTTTTCGGCCAGGAGGATTTCTGACATGGGATTCGTGATAAGGAAATGTATGGGTTGGGTTACGGATAAGGGAAAGTGTCTTTCTCGTAGGCGAGATTGACTTTTGGGTATCTTGCCTTTCCCTTAGGCGAGATACGTTTTCCATTTAATTTCGGGGTAAATACAGTAAATTACCGTATTTACTCCTCCACCGTATTTAATTTTTTTGTTTTTCGAAATTCTGAAAAATGCATATTCCCAATAACTAATATTTATTTTTCTCCAAGATTTATAATGTGTTAATTTTCTTCTTAATTTTTACTGTATTTACTCCACCTACCGTATTTATTGCATCCTCTTTTAAAAAAAAAAAAAAAATCTGAAAATTGCATTGAGAGGCAAGTTCCCAATGTACACACATTCCAGCCATCATAAATAATACTCGATATTATGGTGCTTTCATATGCACGAATTCCATAAGTCTTTTTCAAATCATTTGAGCCAAACTTTCATCTCCCTTTCCTCCTTCTTCATCTTCTCAAAATTTCTTTTTATCCATTTTTTTATTATTATGGTCCCTCCCTTGTATCTCAAGAAATTCATTGAACATTGTGGTCCCAAATTTGTTGATATATTTGTAGTTTTGACTCCATTTTGGTGGGACAGATTTACTACGAAGACAGCGATTAGTGGAGTACAGAAACAAAAGTCAAGTCAGTGTAGACCATAGTATTATATTTTGGAGGTAATAATATATGTTATTTAATTTTTATTTGTTTAAAACGTGAGGATTGCTTATGCATTATTATTTTTATTTGCTTACAAGTATTGTATAGACTGTGCAGTAGTTATGTATTGAGGTTATGAAGTGTAAATCGTAGGTTTAAGATGTTATAAAAAGTTAATCTTTTTAATCTTTAAATTTACAGATTAAAAAGTGTTAGTGCTTTCGTAAAAAAATAAAAAAATGTTAGTGCTATGAATCCAAGAAATTTGTGTATGTTTTGTATTGATTGATTAATGTTTAAGGTTTGCTGTGGTTTTGGATGGTTGACACAACGTGGGGTGCATGTTTCAGAATGAAAATTTGTGTACGTTTTTTTTTTTTTTTTTTTTTTTTTTTTTTTTTTTTTTTTTTTTTTTTTTTTTTAATTCTATGTTGCTAATCATTACTTATTAATTGCATTAATCATTATCCATACTATAAAAGAAAATTAAAAAAAAATCTGTTTTACATTGTGTATAATTCTGTATATATGTATTTCATTCTGTATAATTGTACATAGATGGCTTCTTTCCCGTAATAAATAATGTTGCCTTTACCAAAGGCAACTTCTCTTTTCTTGAATCTCGCCTTCATTAAAGACAATTTCCTTGTTTTGTATCCCACTTTAGGAATTTCCCTATTTTGGAACCCGTGCACAAAAATTTCCCCGACTAGTTAATGATTCCTCGCCGTGGTGTATGGTATAACGATTGCTCATTCAACAACATAAATGTGAGGAAAAATGACTAAATTTAGTCTTTCAAGTCAAATGAATAGTACAATTTAATCTCCAAAGTATTTTTTTTTTTAAATCAGTCAAACCCCACGCACTGTCGACTGCCAAGTGCAATGGACAGTGCAACGTCGCACTTGCCATAAATGCATCCATCCTCCCTTTTATTTTCAAAAAAAAAAAAAATACTCTTTAATAAAATATCTTCTTCCTCAATTCATCTATGAGAAATACTTCTTACATCTACAAAACTCACTCAAGTTTTGTCACTCCTAATGTGGAAGTTTTGTATGGGTAGTTTTTTTTATTGCAAATATCAACTTATTAAAAATTGTCACATCATGATTTGGTTAAAAATTAAATGACTGTTTACGGAAGCTCAATATGAATACTTACGAGGCTTACGACATCAGAATGATTATTGGCGACAGCGGGCGAAGCACTTTTGGTTAAAGAAAGGGGATACGAACTCTACATACTTCCACAACACTGTGACAAGGCGAAGGCAAACAAATTCCATCAATCGCCTTAAGGATGAGAGCAGAACCTGGGTGGAGAAAAGTGTTGCCCTTAACAGTTTAATCACTTCTTACTATTGTAATCTTTTCCAATCTTACTTGGGGAATTGGAATTCTGTTCTTGATGTTATTCATTCTAAAATCACTGAGGAACATAATATGGTTCTTAGTCGTAGGGTTGAGTTACAGGAGGTTAAATTTGCCCTGTTTGATATGAAGGGTGGGAAGTCATTGGGTCCAAATGGGATGAGTCCGGGGTTCTTCCAAACACTTTTGGATACTTTAGGACCTCATCTGTTGAAATTTTGTTCTGATTGCTTTTAGTCTGGTTCCCTTCCTATGGGGGTTAATTCTACCCATATTGTTCTCATCCCTAAGAAGTCTAAACCTGAGGTTCTAGGTGATTTGAGACCCATTGCGTTATGTAATATCATGTATAAACTTGTCTAAAAAATTCTTGCTAACCGGCTAAAGCCTTTACTTGACACTCTTATTTCTGAATCACAAACAACTTTTGTCTCGGGTAGACTCATTACAGATAATGTTATGATCGCTTATGAGATTAATCACTATCTCAAAAGAAAGAGTCAGGGGAAGTCTGGTTTCGTTGGTATTAAGCTCGACCTTAGTAAAGCTTATGATAGAGTCAGTTGGGAATTCTTAAGGGGGGTGTCCTTTCCAGGTTGGGTTTCTCAAACCTCGTTGTTAATCTGATTTGGAATTTGATCTCCACTGTAGAGTATTCTATTCTTCTGGAGGGGAGGGAAATTGGTTTTGTCACTCCTAGGAGAGGTCTTCGTCAGGGAGATCCAATTTCCTCCTATCTTTTCATTCTGATTCTTGAAGTCTTTCATCTCCGGTTACAAAGGAAAGTGAGTGAGAGAAGGATTCATGGGGTGTCCATTGCTAGGGGAGCCCATGTGATAGCTAATATGTTTTTTTGCTGACGATTGTTATATTTTCTGCAAAGCTAATATCTTGGAAGCTAGTTCTATAAAGGAGATCCTTCACCAGTTTGTTGGAGCTTCTGGGCAGGCTGTAAATTATTATAAGTCTACTCTGACTTTTAGTAGAAATGTGTGTGAGGAGGATATAAGGGCTGTGAGTGGCTTTCCTTCTTTAATTGGTAGAAATAAGAGGGAAATTTTGGGTTTCATTAAAGGGGAGATTGTGGGAAGAATTAATAGTTGGACTAATAGATTTCTCTCTCGGGCTGGGAGAGAAGTCTTAATGAATTATGTCATTCAAGCGATCCCTACTTATGCTTTGAGTGTTTTCATCCCCCCTTTGGAGATGGGTAGAGAAATTGAGTGTGTTATGAATGGGTATTGGTGGGCTTGTGATAGGGAGGGAGCTAGTAGTATTCGGTGGAAGGGTTGGGATGCTTTGAGTGTGCCTAAACAGTGGAGAGGCATGTGATTTCGCCGTATTCGAAAGTTTAATATAGCTCTCTTGGGGAAACAAGCTTGGAGAATTATTCAATTCCCAGACTCTTTACTGGCAAGATTGTATAAGGCCAAATACTTTCCTAGAACCTCTTTCTTTGAAGCTCAAGTAGGGGGAAACCCCTCTTATATTTGGCGTAGTATTCTCGAATCTCAGGAGATCCTTAGAAGTAGCTATCGGTGGAGAATGGGAGATGGATCAACTATTCACATTTGGATGATCCATGGCTTCCCAATAATGTGTCACCTTATATCAGAACTCCTTTGACTGGTAATATTGAAGTTTCTAAAGTTTCTGATCTTTTAAATGAAGCTCAAACTGGATGGGACATTCCTATGATTGAAGACATCTTTGAGCCTGCTGATGTGGAGCTAATTAAGAGTATTTTCCCGTGGTTGAAGTTAAATTAGAGGATAAGATCATTTGGATGGAAGAAGAGAAAGGGCAGTACACTGTCAATAGTTGTTATAAGAAGCTTATTGGAGATATGCATGGAGTCCAAATGCCAAGCTGGACTAAAATTTGGAAACTGCAGTTGCCACCGAAAATTAAAGTCTTTTTCTGGCAGGTATGCTTTGATTCCCTCCCCACACATAATTTATTGCGAACTATGAGGGTTCAGGTTCCACCTATGTGCCAAATCTGCAACATGGAAGAAGAATCCATGCTACATATTTTCTCTAGATGTGTGTTAGCAGAAGCTGTTGGAATTATATTGGCAAAGAGTCTTATCACCATTGTGCCTCTTTCGGGGAATGACTTGATCTACAGTTTAACTCTCCTTCTGTCAATGATTTATGTTTCCTGATTGCTGTTTGTTGGAAGATCTGGGAAGCTAGGAATGAGAAAATTTGGAACAATGTTATTTTATCTACTCATGCTATTGTTTCAGGAGCCCAATCTTTCATACTAGAGTGGCAACTGGCAAACCATTCTACTGTCCAGCCTACGTCGAATTTTGTCCGGGATGCTAAATGGGAGAGACCCCCTCTGGGTTGGCTTAAGCTTAATGTTGATGCAGCCTTGGATTATGGTAACAGAAGAATGGGGCTGGGCTTTGTTTTGAGAGATGCTGAAGGAACATTTGTGGCTGCAAAGGAAATTCCCATATCTGGCTTATTTAAACCCAAGGAAGATGAAGCTATAGGAGTAAGGGAGGCTTTAAAGTGGATTAAGGATCTCCAATATGACTTCATACAGCTGCAGCTCTACTCCTCTTTTGATCTCATCATTAATGATGTTAAGGAATTAGCTAAAGACTTTTTGAATATTAACTTTTTGTTTGCTAAGCGGTCCGCGAACAAGGTTGCCCACTTACTAACTAGGGAGACCTTGTTTAAGTCTGATTGTTCGGTCTATTTTTTTATTCCGTTTCCATCTATTGTTTAATATATTAGTTCTTCATTTCTCCAAAAAAAAAAAAAAAAAAAAAATCTAACATTGTAAAAAAAAAAAAACATTGTCCCTTTTTTTTTTTTGAGAAAATAATATTTTCTCCTAAATATTTTTTTTTCTTGAATTATTCATGTATTTACATTAGCCTCAATTATTTTAAATGGTAATTTTTCTCCTTTTTATGTTAAATGGACTTTTTTTTTTATCCTTAAAAATAAGTATCTCATTTATTTTTGTTTTGTAACACATTATTGCTTATATATGAAAATTAGAATAAATGCGACAAAGAACATACCCCATCTGAAAATATTATAATTATAATTTTAAGCTAATACTAACGGACGTAAAACTTAAACACAAATAATTCATTAATACTAATTAATTATAATTATAATATTAATGTTACTGGCATTGGCTTAACAACACAGGGATGGGGATGGGGACCGGGTAGTTCCTCATCCCAGCCGGGGAACGGGGCGGGAGATAAATTCGGGGGCGAGGACAGGAACCCCATTCCCCACCCATTGCAATCCCTGTCAGGTAGCTTTTCTGCTTTATATATATAGTTTATTTAAAAAAATTATCAAATATACACTTCACAAATCTGATCAATAAACATACAGCATCAATCAATCAACCCCCCATCAAATGAACTATCTATCTATCTATCTATCTCTCAATCAATACACGCAAACACAACCAAAATGTATGCGTCCCCCAAACTCCATCCTTAATCTCTTTCTACCATCAATGACCTCCTCTTCTTTCTTTCTAACATTTCTGCTCATCTGTTTAACAACGCGAAAAATACAATACTCTACTAAAACAAATAAATTCGGGAATACAAATAAGCGGGCTCTCTTTCTCGGCCATTCACCACTACTTGAGAAGTTGCTAAACTGCATTAGAACAATTACTACAGGGATAACTAACCTCTGAAACTGCACCTCAGCTGCTAATGTTATCTCGTAAGTTTTCATTATTAGTGGACTCATTTTCAAGAGGCACTTCGCCAGTACTGCTAATGTTATCTCGTAAGTTTTCATTGTTAGTGGACTCATTTTCAAGAGGCACTTCGCCACTATTAACGTTCACAACATCCTTAATACACTCGGGGAGCTTCAACTCGTCATTAACACGGTTGTCAATGTTACTCTGCAACATAATACAACACAATGCAATATGATTCAACCACCCACATATAATCCCGGACATAACCAATCACCACTTATGAAATTAAAAAAGCGTAATAGATTAATAATGCAACATAACCCAACCTCGAGCAGTGCAGATCCAGCATCATTAGCTCCCGCGTTTTCATTATTTGCAGACCCCTTAGAGCCATCAATACTAATACTCATAAGCCCTGTATCACTACCTGGAACATTTAACCCATCTTTACCAGAGCCGATATCATTCTCCTGCCATGTCATAACAATAGATACTCATTCATATCAAATAGGTTATAGATAATGACATTCTTGGCATAACACTAGGCCCAAGTTATACAACTAATTCCAATATCTTCATATATGATTTCAGCAGTTAGCAACAATGGCCATAAGTATCAACCACACAGATTTGGATATGAAATTCAGCTTGTTAGTAGAAGTGAAGAACACCTTCAAATTATTATCTCTTTGTAGCCAAAAGCTGGAGTTAATACCCAATTTCGTCGACTATAGTCATTTTTTTTTTTTTAATTTAGTTCTAAATATCTTTTTGTACTTGGATCCTGGACTTCGATGGTTTTACCTAATTGAGTCATCCGCTATTAGAATCAATGACTAAATAAAACCGCTATAGTCGATGACTAAGGCCTTGTTTGATAACATAGTTGGCTTATCAACCAATTTTGGCTTATTTGACCACTATTAACTGTTTGACATTGTTAAACAATCAATATGAGTGTTTGATTAATTAGCTTTTTGTAACAACTTAAAATGTTAAAATTCACAACTTTTTGAGAAAGTCATTTTGCATGTAATAAGCTATACAGCTCATTTACCAAACATTTTTCTATAAACTAATGGTATCAACTAGCCAAACTCACTAACAAACAACTATCGGCTGACAGCTATTTACTATTTAGCTAACATGGCCTAATTTTGGTAAAACCACTATAGTTGATGATTAAATTAAGCTATCTAAGAGGAAAATCATCTAAGTCAAGAACTACAAAAAAGACATTTAGAATTAAATCGAGAAAAATCACTATAGTCTTGGGTATTAACTAACTCCCAAAAACTGAATACCCATAAGAAATGATAATGTAACTGGATAACACAACATTGAAATTCTCCGATGGAAGAGTAATTACCTGAGCCTCAACCAGGTTATTAGAACAAGGACGAAGCTTATTGTCCACTGAGACAATACTAGAGGGAAGGCGATTAATGTCCCATCCAAGAAGCTTACAAATGGCGTGGGCGTATGCGCGATGAGCCTGAGTACTCTTCGTCTTGGTAATAGAAATGGAATGTTGAACTAAAGCCACGCAGTCTTTATACCTCTTCCACCCTCTCTTCCCTACCGCATAACACACCAGACAGCTGAACTCTCCGCCCGCATTGTTCTTCTCATAGTATTCCCTCAACGCGCTGTCGTCCTCGAACAATTTCACGAAAAATTCCAACTTCGCTCCCCCTTCTCCCTCCGGTGTATCGTCGCCCTCTGGGTCATCTTCCTCCTCCTCGGCTTCATCTGTGCATTCATCGTCTCCGCGGCTGAGAAATTTACTTGCAGCCTTCAACGCCGCTTTCTGGGCGTGATCAGAAGCCAGCCGGGCTTGTTGTTCGGGGGTTAGCGAACGGGGTTCGGAATTAGACGGGGCGCGGAGACTTGGCCAGCCGGAATCGGTTGCCGCCGGCGACTTTGGCGGGGTTTTGCAGGGCCATTCAATGCCGGAATCTAAAGTTTCCGTCCGGGGTTTGTTCCGATACCCTAGCGGTCGGTTTCCCCTTTTCTTCTTGAAGTGGGTAGGGTTTGTGGGGTGGAGGGTAGTGAGGTTGGGTTTTGGGAAATTGGGTCTTGGCGGGCCTTTGTGCCACAGGGAGTGGAGGTAGATCACTTCTTCTCTGAGGCGCTGTTCGTAGTAGGGATCCATTGAGCCTCAAAACAATAAATAAAAAGGAACTAAAAACGATTATGGAAGAAAATGGTGAAGAAAATGGTGATGGAGAAATACAAGGGATTTTCAATTTTAGGTTTCAATTCTCTGCACTTTCCGGCAGTCGAGCTTATAAACGAAGAACTTTCTTCATAATGACGATATTTTCTTAGGGATTTCCACAATTGTATCACGGGCATTTATAAAAGGAAAGGTAAAATGGCCTTTCTAATTCTTAAATTTACTGTGTTTGATAAAATAGTTAGTTTATCAATTAATTTTAACTTATTTGATCATTACTAACTATTTAATTTTGTTAAACAATTAATATAAGTATTTGATTAATTAGTGTCTTCACTCGTGCGTTGCAATAAATAAATTTATTATAATATTTTAATAATATTTAGATCGATATACAATTTTATAAATTATAATTACGAATATTATATAGTACAATAGATAAAATGAGTTGGATCAATTATGTTTTTTAATATTATCATTACTTGAATTCGAGCAAATAATTGTTCAATTACCCATGCGATACCTATGCATGTATGATGCACGTGCGGTGTAAGAATAAAATTTTTTATTATATATTTAGATAATAAAATTAAAGATTAAAATTATAAACAATTTTAATATTTGAAAATGTTCAATTATATAAGATTAGTGCAAAATTATATATATGACTCGTTTGTCTAAAATTATGTTTAAAAAATCGATATATAATATGATTTATGTAATTATATTATTACTAAAATAAATATGAGAAAAATGAAAAATAATTTAATTATAATTACTACAAAAATAAATACGATCCATGTTTAGCTTAACAACTCCTATTCAAAAGTTAAAGTCACTGTTTACACTCAAGCTCCTCAATCTAGTAGACAATGGCAGGCAGGATTCACTTAACGAATGACCCTTGCTCTCATAGGGTACAAACACCATGGCATCTTAATTAGTATAAACTTGTTGTTAATTTGTAAAAAATGCTAATTAGAAAAATATAGATTAGCTGTTTTGTAACAATTTAAAGAAAATGACATTTTTTTTCCCTGAGTTATATTCTTATAGCAATTTTTTCCCCGTGTTATCCATGTACTCACATTTACCCATCATTTATGTTCTTAATACCATCCCCTACTACACAATGCAATCCACTTTGTTTCCCACTGGAGTTTGTGAAGAGATTGAGCGAAAAATCAGGAATTTCCTTTGGAATGGTGGAAGAGATGATAAACACATTCACTTGGTCAATTGGGACACAATTACTAAAAGCAAGGAGAAAGGAGGTTTGGGTATTTGTCGCATGAGAGACATGAACAAGGCCTTCATGGCCAAAATGGGGTGGAGGCTGCATAATGAAAGAGATAGTCTGTGGGCGAAAGTGTTGCTCAACAAATATAATAAGCAGCGGAATGAAAATTTGGACTGGAATAAGAAACATGGGTGTTCAAATATGTGGAAAGGTATCTCTATTAACCGAGAGTTGATTAAAAAAGGAAGCAACAGGAATTCCCCTTGTGCTGAAGAAGTTTCCCCGAACAGCAAAAAGGGAAAGGAAGGCAATGATTCCTTCTCCATTTTAAGAGCTTATGAGGCGGCTAGTTATAGTCAAGACTCTCCTGAAGATAAGGACTGAGCAGCCATTTGAAAACTCAAAGTTCCTAATCGCATATGTACTTTCCTATGGCTCTTGAAGCATGACAGACTCATGACAGATATGGAGAGATGTAGAAGGGGTTTCACAGCCAGGGACAATTGTGACACTGGAAAATATTCCTTCCCAGACATGAAAGGTAATGACTTGGGAAATTAAGTTTTGAGGAGTGGTTTTCTACCAATCTTAGGGGAAAGGTGGAGTCCAGAGTAAAAAGAAATTGGAATATCTTCTTTGTTATTACCATGTGGTGGTTATGAAAATGACATAATGAAGTTGCTTTCGGGGGCCAAGAGAAAGAGCTGCAACACAAGATTGAGTGGTTAAGAGTCCAGGAAATGGAGATTAACAGGGTTTTCGCTAGATTATCCAGTCCAGAAAATTTCCAAGGGAGATACGTGGAGAGACAAGTTCGTTGGAATGGACAGACCGAATCTCCTCTAATTCTCAATGTTGATGGCGCTTTTAGGGGAGTGGACACGTTAACAGGTGGAGGCGCTGTACTAAGAGACAGAAATGACAATTGGATTGAGGGTTGCTCATTCCCCTTCCAAGCTTGGAATCCGCTGGAAGCTGAACTCAGAGCGCTGGAGTTGGCACTTCGATGGATGGAATCCAAAGGAACCTTAAACTTGAAAGTTCAGACTGATTGCAAAGATGTTAAGGAGGCTCTTAATGACGCCAACGATAGCGATCACCATAAGGGAACAATAAAGAGACGGTGCAGAGATTTACTCTGTAGAGGTGGTAGCATCGAGTTAGTGCATGTCTTCGTGAACAGAATTCTGATGCGGACTTTTTGGCTACGGTAGCTGCTAACAGGAGGGAGCCTTTGTATTATTTTTGTTTTCCCTCCCCCTGACTGTGAAACTTTGGTTTGTAATGATCAAATGGGAGCTGTGAGTGATCGTCTCATGCTTGAGACGGAGTATGCTGTTTTGTTTTTCTATCCCTCAGCCTGGGGTGTCCCCCCTCCCGTTTGTAGTTTCAAAAAAAAAATGGCAGTTTTTTTCTCATTTGATATTAAATGAGCGTTTTTACCCTTAAAAATAAATATTTCATTTATTTTTATTCTACAACAAATTATTGTTTGTATGTATGAATGACCACGGTTCAGTTCGAACCTAATTGGACACTGTAGCAACCAGATCAAATGAGTAGGAACGATTTTAGTTATGATTTAGAACCGGAAAAAATAAAAATAAAAAACAAAACAATTGTTGAATTTATACTATTTTAAAAATAAGAAGTAGAATTTTCAAAAATAAATAAATAAATAAGTTTTAAACTGGCGATTCAAACCGAAATTTATTTATTTATTTTTGTAAATTCGATTTCTTATTTTTAAAATAATCTAAACTAGCGATTCAAACCGTCGATTTCATGTAACAATTAGGATTAATGGATTTTAACGTTCCATGTGGAGAAAGCAAGAACTCGTAGAGTCATTTCCTCGTAGGGGAAGGAAATTCAAAATGGATTCCAATTGGGAACAAAATTTGAATTGAGGCAAAATAAGGAATAATGTATTTCAGTTTGCCTTGTTATCCAAAAGCATAACACTCCTTTATGAGTCAAAGTCGCTTTTCCGTGTTGATATTTGTGTTGTGATTGAATAATGATTTTGTGTTGATTTACAAATGATTAATGAATAATGTAAAAATGATTACTAATTATTGGTTCATGAATTATATTATGTAATTGTATTGATTGATTATCAATGATGTATGTTGGTTTTACGACTTTGGTTGCCGGTCGGCGGGCCAACACTACCGTAAAATACTATAAACAAGAGTTTATGATGGAAAAAGAGAGAATAATGCGATATTATTTCTCTAGGGCTTCAGCCACTTGAGTGTCAAAAGAAGCCGAAGAAACGATCGATTTCCCACCTCTTACACGGTGATCCCTAGGGGATACTTATACAAGAATACAGAACCCGTACAAGGAAAGTAGGGTTGACGTAAAGCCAAAATCTACAAGGAAAGTAGGGCTGAGGCATGAGGGCGAATCAGCTATGGAAACTGACCACTATTGCGCCCTAATTGCCTAAAGTAATAAAGGAAGCTACTTGCATTAAATGCGGAAAGTAAACCTTCGTAAAAACATATTTGCAACCGCCTCTGGGGAGTACTCGGTCGGGGAGTATCTTGGTTACTGGGGAGGTGTCTCCGAGGGGCCGCCATACCCGGGCGAAGATGTCCTAACCGCATAGCCTGGTGGCCTGACTGGCTTTCTGAACGATTCCCAGCCTGGAACGCACTGTCTACGGAGCCTGGTCGCCCGCCCGAATCCTGTAAGGCGTTCGGTCGGGGACACACCGGCTGACCGACTTGCCTTTATCTGGACCGGTAGTCGGGCTCTTAGGTGGTCAATTGATGAGAATCGGCTGGCTACGACCCCCTATACTCTTTCGGGAGTCACAGGTGTTGTCCCATTTTCGCTAAGTGTTGTATCATGTTCACGCCTGACCGCCTAAATTTGTATTCTCGGCTGTATGTTCGTTTTGGGATACGGGTATCTATCAATGTATTTATTATAATATTGTAAATTGAATTCAATACCTTGGGTGTAGAGTATGGCATAGGCAGAAATACTCACCGTTTTGATCGTTTTTACATTATCCATTAATCATTTGTAAATCAATACAAAATCATTATTCAATAAGAAAACAATAAGAAAACAAACAGAAAATAATGTTAAAGCTTTTGGATAACAAGACAAACTGAAATACATTATTCTTTGGATACAAAATCATTATCCAGGACTATGTGGTCTAATGGTACCCGGGTTGGACTTCCATTTGGGAGGTTGTGAGATTGAGCGTATATGAACAGATACTACAATCTGATAGAGCTAGTAGCATTCAAAAAAAGAAATACATTATTCTTTATTTTGCCTCAATTCAAATTATGTTCCCAATAGGAATCCATTTTAAATTTTGTTCATTATTGGAGAAAGCACCCAGAATCGTAGTGTAGCTCCACCACTCCGCCGCCTACACCTCCACCGCTAAATTGGCGGGAAACCCCCTTTTCTCTCGGTACTCTACAAAAGCACAAAATCCCCGTCACTCTCTTGATGCTGCGAACCCTAACAATCTCAAGCTGTTCCCCGATTAGTCTGAACCCTAGTGTATTGCCCCTACTACTCTCCTTCTCTTCATCCTCAATGGCTACGCCGGCGAAAGTGGTGGCAGAATATGCCAAGTCCAGCAAGTCGTCCTGCAAGAAATGCTCAAAGGCGATCGCAGCGAGCTCTCTCCGGCTGGGCCTGGTAAGTAAAGCCCCGCAAGGCTTCAATATGACAAAGTGGCATCACATGGAATGTTTTCCCTTAAGCTCCGACCCCATTCCCTCTGCCAGTGCCATCTCCGGATTCTCGTCTCTTAAGGTATAAACTAAAATATACTCAGTTCTATGCATATATGCATCTATGGACTAGGTTTCCTGATTGATTTTAGAATCATTTTTTTAATATTCTATTGCAATATTCGTCAATCAACAAATAGTTAATTCGTCATTTCTTTTACCTTTTACAGAGCAGTGATCAAGAGGATTTGACGAAATTTATTAGTGAAGCTACTGTGGATAAACAGGAGGTATGTTTTAATTATTTCTGGGATCATTTTATCAGATGACATATTTCTTTCCAAGAGAAACCACGCTATGTATGAATTTCTTGACATAGAAAGGAACAACAACATTCCTTGCGTGTGCTTCAAAAAATCATTAGCACCATTCCGTAAATTTCAGCATAATTGCATAAACTAAATAAAATTGAGGGCTTTTACTTTAAAAATTGCTGATAGATAACATGCATCTCTGCTACAAGACTAGTGTTGTGAAGGGAGTATAAAAAACAACCCACATGTCTGCTGAAGTGTTGTGAGTTTATTGTTAAGAATGCAATTGGTCCCTGAACTATTTTCACGATGTTCATTTTAGTCTTTTATCTTTAATTTGGTGAATTTAATTCGTATGTGTTAAAAAGGTCACAATTAACAACAATTGCAAAATTCAATTGTGGGTGTAGTTCTTTATTTTATTTTATTTTTTAAAAAAAAAGAGAAATGACTTGGATTATACAAGTCAAAAAATGCTAAAATGTCATTATCATGTTAGTGACACATAAGCAGGTGTAACTGCTGGAAGTATTGGAATTTTCAATTGTCATCAAATTAATGACAACTCAGTAGTACAGGGATCAGTTGCGAACTTAAACCACTATATGATTAACTTAGAACAAATCTTTAACTTTCTAGGTTTTGGCACTTCAAGTGCAAGCAAAAAAGGTTGAGTGCTAGCTTTTAAGCTGCTTGCAGCTTGGGACCCGCGGGGGAGGGGGGGGGGGTGAGGGATATACTTCTCAGTTCTCACACACACATGCATATTCATGTGTGTATCTATATGTGTGTGCAGTTATGTATGCGGGTATGTAGTGTCTTTGTCTGTGTATTGTTCTTCCTTTGTCTTTTATCACAGCTTAACTTGAATTGATTTTTAACTTTATAGGTTTCAGACAAAGATGAAAGTGCCAAGAAAGAAAGCAGAAAGAGAATGATAACAGAGGTGAATGTAAATACTAACTTTCAGCTATGAATGGCAACTAGGCAGGGGCATATTCCCCACCCCGCCCCGCATGCACTAGAGGGAAAGAATTCTTTCCCATCCCATATTTTGGTTTCTCACATATTTTTCTTCTGCCTAACTGGCGGGTGGTGGCTATTTGCCACCCACCAGGCCTTTCAATTTCTCAATTTCAACAATATAAAAAAATGAAATTCCAATCCTACAATGAAATTAAACAAATCTTAAGTTAACCTTAAAAAGTTAAAATCGGTAAATCTTCATCCAACTATTACTAATAATTATATAACATTACCATAAATCTTCGTCAAACTTGCCAAGTGCTTTTTTTGGTTTCTTTTCCATGAATTTGTCCAGGAATTCAGTAAGTGAAAGATCATTTTGGGGATTTCCATGGTAAACAATTTTTGCCCCCAAAAGCAGCGTTTTTTCCATGGTAGCCACTGATAAATGCACATGCAAAGCTAGTACCACTAGTTCCCACCAACTAAAACGATTTGCATTGCTGTTAGTGCATATTATATAATAATTATTTATAATATATATGTATGTGTGTGTGAACTTTTTTTATATAAATACTATGGACAGGGATTGAAAAATAGTCCCGACCTACATTCCCCAAATTTTATCCCCATTGGGGTCAGGTGAAATTGCTATCCCTATTTTCAGCTCATGCACCTAAATGTCGTTCCTAATATCTGCCTGCCATTAGGTTCAGGAAACTGATGGAAGCGAAGGCACTGAGCTAGAAGAAGATAGGATAAAAATAGCAAAGGTAGAGAGCTGCAATTTGCCAATTTCCACCTTATCTAATTTTCTTTTGAGTGAACTATGAGATAAGAAGAAAAGCGAGGAGTGGAACTTTTTGTGAATATTAACAATTGGTGAACTGCAATCTAGTATAAAGCATTTTCTAAAACTGTGGTTCAAAGTTTCTCATCATCTGAATTTAAAATCCTTTTGCATGTACCATGCTCTTAAGGTAAAAAAATGTATAATGTATTCCTGTGATCATTAATAGATAAAAGCACAATGGTCCATGTTGTCAAGCGTTTTTAAATGCTTTTTAAACAGAGTTTCAGGTTAAGTGGATCTGTTTGTGTATTTCTCACTTGATTTCAATATTGTCTAGACATCTGCCTCAATCAAGGGACCTGAGGTGGAGATATCATTCTCTATTATTGATGTGAAGTCCCATTACAAGGTAAGATCTCTCCACAACCACAATGTCATAGTCATGAACCTGCTCTCCCACTATTTCATTCTTCATTGTAAATTTAGAAGATTACATTTTTAGTATTGGTTTTGTTCAAGCTGTTTTCATTAAAAGCTTTTGATCTATATTCCTTTTTATAGAAACTTGGATTACATTTCTATGAAACAGTGCTTTACTATTAAGTTCTTTTTGTATTAGGATGCCAAATTATTACCAAAATGGAAGGCGTTTCAGACAACAATATACCTTGAACAGGTAAGTTGTTGAACTAATATTATGTGTTTGTACTGGGACACCATTTGCTAGATACAAAGCTGTGATGGTTACCAAGATACAGTTTAAAGCTAAAATAAACTTACAGGTTTAGCACTGAGCACATGTTGACAATTGGGCCAGTTCAGAGCATTCTGTTAGGTTCTAATATCATGAAATGTGTAGTTTCAAGGATCACTTGTTTTAGGATGGCAATTTCAATTTGACCCTTGGGTATTCACTTGAATCCACCCTGCATTGATCAGGTTTTTGTGTGTGTGTATGTGTGTGTGTGTTGATAGCAGGTGGTTGGTCAAGAGTGGGTCTTAAAAAATTAAACCTTTGGCAGGTTTGGTGGGGTGCCGGTTTTATGTACAAAACCTGCATAGAACCCACCAAGCCCACCATATTATTATTATTTTATTATATATAAAAATATGTAAAATTAACTAATAAATAGTAAAATAAGTACTAATAGTTACACCGTACTTCTTAAAGTCTACAAGAAATATAACTCAATTAATTTTAATTTTAATTTTTTTTTTATAAAGTTTTAAATAATAAGTTTATTTGAAAAAAATTTACAACTTAATTATTATATCTGAATATTTTTATTATTTTTATGTTTTAATATAGCTAGTGAATGACATATGGGAAATAGTTTAAATATTATTACTTTGCAAAACTTTTAATAAGATAAAAAATGGTGGGTATCCGAATCTGGTGGGGCGAGGGTAGGTTTTGATCCATTGTAATCCCTACTTGACTTCATTCTTCTTCATTTGCAACTTAAGGGGATGGGATTTGAACCCGAACCAGAGTCCTAGGAAGTGGATTATGTACTGCTGTCTTAAACCCCAACCCCGAGCTTCTTTTTTGTACTAAATTCCGAAGTCCACCAATCATTTATATTGTACCGCTTCTGGATAAGTATTTTCATAGTACAAATGTATTTGTTTTGCCACTTTTTGACAACTGACAAATGCTGCATGTTCTCTGAAGCTAATGCAGTCCTTATTGATTGTATTCTTTGTTTTCAGGATGAAGGACTTCTTGACTCAGAAAAGATTGCTGCATTTGATTTTGATGGTTGTCTTGCAAAGACATCTGTAAAGAGGTATGTTTTATTCATGGAATGAGGTACCTTAATTCTTGTAGACACAACAGAAATGAACTGCTGGCTGATGAACTCAGTTATTGAATTATAATTGCTGACTTTTCCATTTTATGTTAAGAATTGGTGCAAATGCTTGGTCTCTTATGTACCCTTCAGTACCAGAGAAACTTCAGTGCTTGTATAATGATGGCTATAAGCTGGTTTGTATTTTAATCTCTTTGAAAGTAGTACTTTTTAATTTTACGCTCTGCATCAATCTCGTCAAAGTTGATCATATATCATATCTAGATTATTTGGAGGGGTATGTGTGATCTCAACCAATTGGCTTATACGTTAATTATACCTGGTTGTTACAAAAAGGTAATCTTTACCAATGAATCCAATATAGAGCGCTGGAAGAATAAGAGACAGACAGCTGTGGACTCTAAAATTGGTCGACTTGAAGACTTCATTAAACGCGTGAAGGTCCCAATTCAGGTGATTTGTTCCCATATTTTGTTTAGTCACATTCATCAATTTCTGGAGTAGTTGTGCCTATGTGATATACTTGCTCTGAAAGTGTTTCTTTTAGTACCTTGTGAAGCATACAAAGTACCTTTTCACCATTTTGTGAATGCAGGTCTTCATTGCATGTGGCTCAAGTACTGATCCAGCAGATCCCTTTCGTAAACCAAAGATTGGGATGTGGAATCTTCTGAAGAATCACTTCAATTCTGAACTTCCAGTTGACATGGATAAGTTAATTTCCCTCCTGGATCGATTGTTTGATCTTTAGAATAATGCAATATTTTACTATGACATCCATTGTTTAACATATTACTCATTTTCAAATTTCAACTCTAGATCCTTTTATGTCGGTGATGCTGCTGGTAGGAAGAATGATCATAGTGATGCAGACATTAAATTTGCAGAGGTAACACATATTTCGAGGTGCTTAGAGGAATATAATAGTGCATATTGATTTATTATATTCTTAGAGTCCACAATCTGAATAGTGAATAGAGGATTTGGGCAATCTTGATACTGGGCAGTAGAGTATCACTAATAGACTTGTATATTTTTCTGGAACCATTCAACTAAGCTCATTTCCCTTTTGGACTGCAGGCCATTGGACTAAAGTTTTACCTTCCTGAGGATTTCTTTTCAACTTAGAAATATTTTTCACTCAAAAGAGCAGGGGACTGTTAAGGGAAACTGCTGTAGCTTAATTATGCCTTCACCCCTTATGTATAAATTGCAAATACAGTAGTGTAGTATGGTCTAAACACTAGAGGTATTTTTCTCTGTCGCATGATGTTAGCTGCCTTTTTATTTATTACCTTGCTGAGAGTTGCTTTAATTTTCAAGCACCAGCAAGTATCATTTCCTCAACAATGACCTCATGGCACAAACTAATCTGCCATAATGCATTGAGAGCTTCTTTGAGAAATGAGCTATTATGAGCATTTGATGGAATTATTTGTGAATTTGTTGAACATCTAAATTGGCCTTTTATAGAATTTAATATTGGACATCTTACACAAAAACTTGCTGGCTTGCATAATATAACCAAAGAGAAGATGTTGTTTGTGTTTTGGTACATAGTTGTCTAACCTTATTATTACTTTTCCCTTCCAATCTCACCTTCTACTAATGCATGTCTGGTCAGAACAATTTCCTTCACCAGATTCTTGTAAGTGAATGGTCTGACAGCTGATCGCAGGAATAGCTCAGGAGGGATTTTACTTTTCTTTATCTTCTTCTTCCATGGACCAATTCCAATATACTTCCATTCTTCTGGACTAACTTTTGCCCTAACACCTCTCAATGCCAGTTCATCCCCATCGTCTTTACTAACGCCTTTAGCATCTCCATGTTTTCTACTCGCTTCATATGCTTTCATCTGTTCATCATAGTACTCATCAGTTTTCTCCATATATTTCTTTGCAAACTTCTCCATTGCTTCAGTACTAGTCATTGCCTTGTTAAACTCATCTTCCCAAAACTTAGGATCCTCTTCTGGATCCTCACCATCTTCCTCTTCCTCGGCAGAGTCCAAAATCTCATCGTCTTGATTGTCATCTTCATCGTCATCTTCACCATCTTCATTTCCGTAATCTTCAATCCAGTCCACAATCTCGACCTCCCCCTTCTTACTACCTCCTCGATAATAATCATCATCGTCTGGTGCATCGCACCCCAACTCCATCTCCTCCAACCTCGTCTTCCACTCCCTCGTGTAAGGATGCAGCAATGGAACCGGATGGTTCTGCAGCAAGAACTCCATACACTTTGATTTCTTCTCCTCGCTCAACTTCTCGTAAGCTTTCACCACATCATCCACGAACGCCTTAGGGTTCACCTTCACAATCTTACACAACCCTGCAAAATAAGTGCACAGCTCTATAGATCCATCGTCCTTGTTCAACTCGAACAAGAAATCCTGTTCAGTCTGTGGGTCGAGCAATGGCGTCAAGGCCTTGAAAAACTCGTCCTGTGGCTCAAACCTGCATTGATACACTGGCCTCTTAACGTATACTATGTCGGGCCTCATCCAAGCTGCACATCGAGTAATCGACCTTCTCGAGTAATTCCCAAGCCTTCCCATCAAACTCCATTTATCCAACCTCTGATTCCCAGCCTCAACAACAACCTCAGACACCAAAGTCCACTGCTCCCATGCCAAATCCGAGGTCTTCCACCTTGGATGCCTAACAAACACCCAAAAGTACCTGCGACCCACGTTTTCATCCATTGAATTCAATCCTTTAAGAAAATCCTGAGTCATATCAAACTGCTCAATCTTATCCCACTCTTCCTGGTCTCGAACCTCTCCCATCATCGTCACGCATTCATCTGACATTCCCCCTCGAATCGGGTCGCCCAAAACCACCCCGCGCCAGGAATACGGCCCGAATTCCCCATACTTGTACCAGTCATAAGGGTGCTTAAGATTGGGGTCGTCCTTCTCCATGAACCTCACCATTCTATCGTACCCCAACCCAATCATCTGAAGCTCCTCTTCCGAGAAGTTATTCGGGTAGTTCCCGTGCGGATTCTTGAGCCTGTAGAACAAGCTCTCCGCCATTTTCTTGCTTCTCAGGCGGGCGTTCCGCTTCGCCTCCCGCCGGACCTCGGCGTTCCCTTCGATGCGGCCCTTGGAGGGCATGCCGGGCTTCCCTTTGCTCCTGCCGGCGAAGGGTCTGATATCTCTTCCCTTGCCCGCATTTTGGGATTGGATAACTAGGGATTTTGAGGTCTTGGCGGTGGAGGAGGAGGAGGAGGGGATTGGAATAATGCCTCTAAGAAGAGGGTTTGGGAATTTGGGTAGAAATGAGGTGAATAGAACAGGAGGGTTTAGGGTTTTAGGTACAGTAAGGCTCTGAGTCTGCATTTCGGGAAGAAGGAATCTGGATATGGAATTGCGAAGGTACAAAGATCTTTATCACATGTCTTAGCAGATTAATATTCTATCTGGATCTGGATTACAAAAAAAGATAATGGTTAAATATGTCAATCAACTTTTATGAAAAAGGTAAGTAAACTATTAAACTTCATAAAAGGTTTCAGTTATTAAATTTGAAAAAATGAAATTAAACCTTGTTTACCCCGTCAAGCATCATGTGCTCAGATAACACATATGTCCTTTTTGAAGGAAGGTCACATGATCGAACTCCGATAGTGAGGTATTAACTCTTTAAGCTTCCGTACTTGAAGAAAGTATAGAACATATGCTACCTTGTAAAAAAAAACTTTGTTTACCCCTTTAAGAGGTTTCCTCAGATTACATCAAAAACCCATAATAAAGTCCAGCGGCAAGAATTGAATTTATTATTTTGTAATAAACCGAACGAAAAGGAAATTGAATTCCGAGGAAAAGAGATTTAGCCACAACCGAAATCCTCTTCTTTTTTTTTTTTTGGTCTGTCTTGGCTGAATTCTTTTCTCAACATTTTTGCAGACTACATTTACATATAGCATTTTGTAAATTCATATCTCAAAATTTCTGCAATTCATAACAAATCATCAAATGAGTACAAATTGGAATCTAAAAGGCATTTCTCAGGTAAAAATTCTTATTTTGTGAAACTACCAATCTATGTTTTCCTAGCATTTCTCAGGTAGAACACAGTTGTTGCTAGAGCAATAGCCACCAATGGCCACTTCTTCACTTTGAAGCTCTTACCCTCTGCCACCGGAATCCCGTCGGTATCCTCTAACTTCTTCTCGATCTCTAGCACTCTCTCTTTCATTTCATCCACCCTCGCCTTCGCCTCTTTCTTTGCCATCTCCAGCTCCGCTTTCTCCTTATCCCAGTCCTGGTTGATTACCACCGAAGCCTCTAACTCCGCAAGTGAATGCTTGTTATATCTGATTAGATGCTCATTTGATTCCTTTTCTACCTTCAGATTATCCCTACTAGCCTCCAATTCCTCCACTTTCAAAATCAGCAGATTCTTTTCATTCTCAATGGCTTGGATTTTAATTTCCTTCTCATTCTCACTACTTTTCAACCCAACTAAAGTTGATCTCAACAGTGACGCCTCAGAACTTGAATCTTTCAGATCATTCAATGCTTTGCTCAGATCATCCCGGAGCTGAGACACCTCGCCCTCAAGCTCAACAACTCGAGCATTTATTGATCCCAAAGCTCTAGTCTCAAACTCTGATTCATCCACCATCTTTTGCAGCTCCGCTTTCTCATTGCTGGAATCATCAATTGACTGCTTCAGCTTCTCCGCCCTCTCCTTGATGACCTCATTCTCATGAACTAGTTGGCGGTTCTCCTGCTCCAGCGCAGAAATCTTCGCGCTTAGTGCAGAGGTTTTTATTTCAGCATTATACACCTCTCCGTTGTTTCCTGAATCGTCCGCCATAACTAACACAACAGGCAAAACAACCACAACAAAAATCAAAATAACAATCACCTATCAATAAAAAAATCAGAAACTGCTAGGATTTGAGAAACAGCGAATTGCGAAACCTAACCTTTCTCTGTTTCTCAACAGTACAATGAAATGAAGAAAAAAAAGCGGAAGAAAGGAGCTTTGGTACCCGTACTTTTCCCCGGATTTGGAGGCAGAATCGGCTTTACAGATAAAGAAAGGACAGAGTGAAATAAAATGGAAAGCAAAACGACACAAGAAGCAGCGTTACCTTTGTGATTGAAAAGCTGACTGAACTTGACGGAGAAAACTGAAATGGTAAATCAGAATTAGGGTTCATGGATGGAAGATGATCTCAGTTCAGTTTTTGGACAAACGGATGCCAAGGAAGCAATCATTATTACATGGATCAGCATTATTAGCGGGATTTATCAAATATGAAATAGAGTAAATACCCAAAATGGTCCCTCGATTATAGCTAAATTCACAAATTGGTTCTCGACTTTCAATTTCAACCAATTAAGTCCTTAACTTTGCAATTTTGACACGATTTGGTCCTCCATCTGTTTGACCGTTTATTGACCGCGATCTTTGAGGATATATATGTAGTTTCACGTGCAAAGCTCAAGAGAACGCTCTTGAAGGTGACATCGTTGTTTCGGAGGGGGGAAGTGCTTCTCCGCTTGCTGCTTGGGGATCACGAGCCGGTTCAGCTTAGAGAACGCTCTTGGAGGTGACAGCGCCGTTTCGGAGGGGGGAAGTGCTTCTCCGCTTGCTGCTTGGGGACCCCGAGCCGGTTCAGCTTGCCTACATCGCTTGGAGTCACGGCTTTCTCGAAGAGCCACTCCAGGGACTTCGGCGATCTATCTATCAAAAGCTATAATCTCTCCGGCATGGGGTGCAGCGCCGGTAGTGGATTCAAATGTAACAGTGCGGTCTAAAAATGCAACCGAAACCTTAAAAACCGACGATGGACCATGAAATTACATATATATCCTAAAAAAGTACAGTCAACAAACGGTCAAATAGACAAAGGACCAAATTGTGTTAAAATTACAAAATTAAGGACTTAATTGGTTGAAATTAAAAGTCGAGGACCAATTTGTGAATTTAGCTATAGTCGAGGGACTATTTTGGGTATTTACTCTATGAAATATGAGCAAATACCAATTTTGATCCACGAGTATTAACAAAATGACAATTTTAGTCCACCTATTTAGTTCCTACCAATTTTCATCCACGACTATTACTTTAGTACCAATTTTCATCCACAACTATTATTTTAGTGCCAAAATTCATCACGCCGGTCACCCCTTCGTTTAAGACATGCCGAAATATGAAATTATTAAGGGTAGTTTCGTGCTTTTCAAATTACAATCCCTATTTGAACATGAATAAAGAGATTTAAGCCCTAAAATCTATCCCAATTCGTAATTTTCTTCCTCAAATTAAGGTAGGATGAGGAGGAGAACTGCGAATTGGAATCGGTCTTAGGGCTTAAATTCATTTATTTATGCTCAAATTAAAATCTTAAGTTGAAAAGGACAAAAATGCCCCTTAAAATTTCTAGATTTCGGGATGTCTTAAATAGATGGGTGACCAACGTGATGAATTTTGGTACTAAAATAATAGTTGTAGATTAAAATTGGTACTAAAACAATAGTCGTGGATGAAAATTGGTAGGAATTAAACATGTGGACCAAAATCGTCATTTTACTATTACTCGTAGGACCAAAATTGGTATTTGCTCTATGAAATATCAATCTATTATTTGTATGAAAATAACCATTATGGCAAACTAATTAAGAGAATAAATTGAATAATTTTTTTGGTATAAACAGAGCAGACCTGATCGTGGAAACGAGAAGCGAAAAATGCAGAGCAAGTCTATACGTTTAGGAAAAAAGAAAAATAATATGATGGCGAAAGAAGAAAAATACACAAAAAAACTAATAAAAAATTCTAGAAGAAAAAAAAAATTATGGTTTATGGCTCTAAATATCACTTATTAAAGGTCATGATGCGACATGAATAATCAAGAACGGTTAATGGTGCGAGATGACACTTTAGCCAATATTAATTGTTTGTTAAAGCAACCCACCGATTTCTTTTCATTGTAAAACAATTCTTGAAAGTTATGCAAAGTCACTCAAGCGCGATCCAGACTTCTTTTCATCGTACCCATTACTCAGAGCAACTTAGCCAGTGCAATTAGAGCAGCAGGTGGGTGCTGGGCAAAATTCGCTAGGGAAGGAAGAAGCAAAATATACAAAATATACCCTCTGAATTTTGACCGAAAACCAGAGGCGGAGACGGCACCGCGGCGGTCCGACGGAGTTGCTAACTCGTTGCTGCTTCGGAGTCCGGGCTAAGCCTGTCGCCTTGTCGTATCCTATGCTCAGTGGAGAGGGATTAGCCCTGCAACGCTACCGGCAAAAATAGGATGGGTGAAGCCCGGATAAATTCCATAGCCATCTTCAAGTATTAGAAGGGAGATGGAGCGGTGGACAGCTCAATTGCTCAGTTTTCCGCAGCGAATTTCAAGAAGATGATCGCCTCCAACTGCTGCCAATCGCCTCTGGAAAGCTTGTCGGAGTTGCATAACCTCAGGTTTCTTGGAATCAGCTGGAACATTCTCTCCGGCGGGATTTTGTCGGGGCTTGGTAAGCTCCGGAGCCTGCAGATGCTCGATCTCAGTTATAATCAATTATCTGGGAGTATTCCTCCGGCCATCGGAGCGTTGCGGCATTGTCCAACGTTATTCCGACCACTTATTGTCCACAAAATTCACTTAAATGCTTTCGGTTTACGCCTGAACCCATCCCCAGCACTTCCATGTCACACTCATGCTTCCGTCTTCGTGTACAAATTGCTGCAATGGCGAGGAGGAAGCAGAAAGCAAGAACAAATAACATTCCTTTTTTAAAAAGCTTAAAATGACCATTTTACCCTCAGGATTAAACAATTTTAAAGGAATTACGTTTTTCTGGCAACATTTGGCCGACGATTTGACAGGGAAGACCAAATGTGTTAAAAATTGCATAGTTACGGGACTAAATTGATAGTTTTTAAAGTCAAGTACTCAAATTAACAAGATCACAATAGTCACAGGACCAAAAGTCTAATTTTCTAGTACTAATAATATTATACCTTAAGTATAAAATAAGAATATTAGGCAATTATGTTAATAAATAATTAATATTTCGGTACATTAATTTTGGCTAAGAAATAATTAGGCTAGAAATAATTAATAAGAATATTAGGCAATGTCAACGTCATGCAGATGAGTTTCCGGGATCCAATTTCCAGTCTTGGGATCCTTCATCCAGGAAACATCCTTCTCCACCGCTTGCACCGCCCCCCCTCGTCAACTCCTCTGCCTCTCTCCTTATCACCGACGATGAGGCCGCTGCCTGCCCTTCACGCTCTCCGCCACAGCCGTATAAGTTCTCTTGAACAATTTTATATTGATAAGCATAATTTGTGTATATACAGATCAGTGAAGACCTTGGCATTCTCGTGGTGGTTCACGACGGCTTATCTGCTACGTCAATTAATTATTACCATAAAACAACATTGTAATATGATTTAGATAATTATATTATTATTAAAATAAATATAGAAAAAATAAATGGGAAAGAAAGAATTAGGCGGCCTTGGCGGCGTACGCGGATCCTTCGGCTTCTTGGGAAAACAGTAGGATATAACTTTCTTGTTCGAAGACTGCAACCGATATGGAAACTAGAGAACCTTTTTCAACTCATCGAACTTGATCACGATTATTTCCTGGCAAGATTTGAGTCCCAAAAAGATTACGACTATGCAAGGTTTGAAGGGTCGTAGATGATCCTCAACCACTATCTCATAGTTCAGGAATGGTCGCCAAATTTCAACCCTCGCACGAACAAAACAGAGAGGATTCTCGCTTGGATCAAACTGCCCTCTCCCCCCATCGAATATTTTGATAAAGACATACTGTTGTGAATAGGAGACAAAGTCGGACGAGCAATAAAGGATAGCACAACCAATTTGGTTTCAAGGGGTAAGTTTGCAAGGATAACCTACTACAAAGCTAGTCAAAGATGTAACATAATAATAACAATAATAATAATAATATTGCTAACACACCCCCTCAAGCACAAGGGTGGTGATCAACCACATTGAGCTTGTCACGTAGCAATGCGAACCGCGGCCCGGGCAGCGGTTTGGTGAAGAGGCCAGCTGATCCTTCGTAGATACAAAGTTGACCACCAAGTCACCAGAGGCAACCTTGTCCCGGACGAAGTGGAAGTCAATCTCAACATGCTTGGTCCGGGCGTGGAAGACGGGATTAGCACACAGGTAGGTGGCGCCCAGATTGTCACACCAGAGAATATACGCTTCGCCGGAGTGTAGAACTAGCTTAGTTCACGCAGAAGTGAGACAACCCATGTGACCTCAGCCGAGACATCTACTAGGGCTTTGTATTCGGCTTCAGTTGATGAGCGAGCGACCGTACGTTGCTTTTTGGATAGCCAAGAAATCAGATTGGTCCCAATGAAAACAACATAGCCACTTGTGCTCTTCCGATCCTGTGGGCAGCGGGCCCAATCCGAGTCCGAGAAAGAATGAATAGTGGAGGAGGCGGAGACGGAGAGGCATAAGCCCTAGTTAAGTGTGCCTTTGATGTAACGTACCATGTGCTTCAATAGAGCCCAATGATCAACTGTTGGGGAGTGCATGAACTGACACAGGCGGTTGACCGCATAGGCCAGATCTGGCCGAGTGATGGTTAAGTACTGTAGAGCTCCGATAATGCGCTGATATTGAGTCGGGTTGTCAAACAGTTGATCAGACGGGGAAACAGGTTGATTGACGGCAGCTGGAGTGGCCAGGGGTTTGCAATCAACCATGCCTGCGCGGTTCAGAATGTCCTTCATATAGAGACATTGAGAAAGCATGATCCCAGTACCAACCTTGAGGGTCTCAATGCCGAGGAAGAAACCGGGAGTGCCAAGATCACGTATCTTAAAAGTCGTGGATAGGCGGTCCAGCAGAGTAGTAATAAGAGTCGGGTCGTTCCCCATCAAAAAGCATGCAAACAACAGAAAATCATGTAATCTTTTGAACCAAGCTCGGGGAACTTGTTTAAGACCATACAACGACCGTTGAAGATGACACACATGATCCAGGTGTGCAGGATCTTCATACCCGGGAGGTTGCTTCATATAGACTGTTTCAGCCAAGTGGCCATTGAGAAAAGTGTTGTGGACATCTAGCTGTCGCAGAGCCCAACTATTCGCCACGGCTAGAGAAAACAGAAGCCGGATTGTAGTCGGT